CAAACTTGCTGAAATAATTAGCGCATCCAATCGCATCCAACAAATCATCAATCCGGGGGAGGGGATACACATCTTTGATCGTGATTTCATTCAGCTTGCGATAATCAATGCAAATGTGAATCGCCCCGTTTTTCTTCGGTACTAACACTACGGGAAAGGACCAAGGTCCGGTAGCGGGTTCAATCCAGCCGCTGACTTCGAACTCCCGAATTCGTTCGAGAGCCTTTTTGCGTTCAATCAAGGAATACCGATAAGGTTTGCACTGAATCGGGGAGTGATTTCCTGTCTGAATTTCATGTTGGATTACTAACGACAACCCAATGTCAGTGTTTGACACACTAATCGCTTCTTGATACTCCATTAGAATATCCACAATTACCCGGTGGGTTTCATCCGGCACGTACTTTGGGACGTGCAGTTCGAAAAGTTGGTCCCAGATCCAAACGTCAATCTGTTTCATGCTCGCCTGTTTTGCCAAGTCGGGTGGAGGCGCCGAGATGAATGAATGGTCCGATCGCTAGGAAAACACCGTGGCCATCATCTGGGCATCTTCTTCTTGAATTGCCACGTGTCCTTCCGGGGTAATCTCGTCACAAACATCCTGCCATGGCACTTCCTTAGTTGTGATTTTTATCCCCAGTCCGCCTGTTTCTGCTTCGAAACGCCCAGGGGGTTCCAGAGAGCTTGCTTCCGCCCCCAAGCGTAGCAATCTCACTTCTTTAGCCGATGTTAGTAAGGATTTGGGGAGATTCGTAATGTCACAGTAATGCTTCTTGTCGCTGTATCGAGCGAGGAGAGGGGCGATTCCTTCATACAGAGTTTGAGGGGGTTCCAAAGAGTCGACCATCCTCGAAATCTGCACGAGGGGCTCACCCAAGATCATTGCCTTGGTCCTTTGAATTTTTCGGCTGGTCAGTTGCATCGTTCTCGCTATCGTTTTAGGCGGCGGGTAGTAAACGCGTTGTCATACCAATTTCAAGATCTCCGGATCATCTTCGTCACTGCTTTCCGCATCATCTGTTGATGACTTTCTCTCTGCGGATTCATCCCAGAAATCATGCGAAGAGTCCCCGCCATCATCGGGGAAACCCGCGGAACCGTGTTAATAGTAGTGCGAAGGGTCAATCGCATGGGCACAGCGTAAGGTTTTCCTCCTGTATTTCGGAGGACGATTGATCGTCGTTCGAAGTCCAGGTTTGCTCGTAGCGCCACAAGAGCGGGAAGTCCGAAAAGAACGTCGTACGTATTGACATCTAGTACTACGACATCCCCAAGCGCGTGCACTTTACCCAATCGGAAAGCGACATGATCATTCTTCCCACGGTTTTAATCCTTTCTTCGTCAGCCGAAACGAGCTGATCTTTCTCAGAAAGCATGATTAGGTCGTTTTTCCTACCTTCCCTTTCGACCACTCTTAGTGAGATCGCCAGTACGACTGCTCCCGAATCTATAATCGCGCTGTACGGAATTCCCCAAATTTCTATATCGCACTCTGGGGACTTCCACGAAATTGGTTTAATCCGTAGGAAATGATCGTCTTTCTGGATTAAACCTACTCGTATCGGATCCGAAGTGCCTGCGGGGTTTTCTTCGGGCGCGGGGTTTTTGGCTTTTGCATTTGGTGTTCGGGCGAGGGCGAATCGCTTTCGGTTTGCTTTGCAATGCTGTAGCATTCGCTCGTTGGCTTGTTCGGAGATTGAGAGTAGGTGACCGATCGGAAGAGGAATCCGATGGTCCAAGGCCCGGATGATGTTTAATACATCGATCTCTCCTGTGACGAAGGTGGGTCCTCCCGACTCCATTTCTCCTAAGGACGGTCACCATTCCGCCACTTCTTTCGGTTCGGGTGCGGGTCTGATTGTTCCGATCATTCCAAGCCCAGGATATCCCAGCGATACGTACTGATCTAGCGGAATTAGCTCGGCGGCCTCTTCCGAGGTGGCCAGGGCACTTCCCCCACCCTCTACTTCTTCCATCAAGGCTCCGACTCGTCCGGGTCCGTTAGCGATGGGAGCCGCAACCATAGGTGCGACCCCGATTCGCTGTTGTGGGGGTCGGTGGGGACAATCATGGGCTAAATATCCTGGCTGATGACAGGCATAACAGACATTCAGGTTATTTGTGACTCCTCCGATCGCAGGTGCAGGGGCTAATCCTTGCTGCATCGGAGGGGCGCGTACCGCAATGGGCCGCATGTTCCTCATCATGGCTTCCAGCCGAGCATTGTGCTCTCGCTGTTCCTTTTTGCTTTCCTGGATCAAGCTAATCAAGGTTTTCGTTAGTTCAAAGATGGCTGCTGATTCGTTCGTTCGTGTGGGAGTCTCAGCTGGTGGTGGAGGTAACGCCCTTACTAGTGGGGGCATCGCAGGAGCGGACGTGCTCGGAACCTCACTTAGGATCACTCGTTTGGGGCCTATCTGTTCCATGTAGGCGACAGGTCCTGATATAAACCCCATGTTTTCAAACTTGTTCTGCAAGGCAGCCAACTCAGCCCTTGCTCGTGCGAGTTCGGTCGAATATCCTTCTCTAGGATAATCTTCCCCTTCCAGGAAGTTCGCCGCGAACTTCCGTTCCATTTCTTCCGCAGCAGCCATGATTTGCTGTAGCGTGTGAGTGATGGGGGAAAACTACTTTCGCAACTTAGCCCTTATTGTTCGGCTGCGAAGCCCGTCAATGAACAGGTCTCTCCCTACTTGTTCACCTCGCTCAGTTTTTACGAACATTCTGTAGAACCGGTTTCGATATTCTGCAACGGATTCGAGAGGTTTTTGCACTCGGTCCTTGATCATATATAGCGCTTGCTCGGGGTGAATGTAGTCAAATCGGTTCATGAAATCCCGCTCAAAGGTCGGGAGGTCAACATCCCCCCCCAATCGGGGGGGGATGTTGATCTGCGCTTCATTGTCAATGTACTGTTGGGCTCTAAGTGTGGCCATCCATGCTCCTGCAAGATGGTGTGCGGGATCAAACAAATAGAGATCAGGTGGCGTCATGGGAGCTCGTGCACGTGGGGCGGGTTGATTTGGTGGATTAGCGTTTTGTTGAGGAACCGGGTTCTGCACATTGGCAGCCATATTGGCTGCTCGTTGGTTAGCCGATCTACTTCGGGTGACGATAGGGTCGCGTCTATGCGCGTTCCGAGGGCGAGGTCGTCTTTGGTTAGCCAGGTCGCCTAATTAACGTGCTATCAATCCTAAGACCCTAGCCACGTGTCGGGCTCCAATACCAACCTCACGCCCAGCGCGACTTCCTGATCGGAGTAGGATGTGGGCCTGGAAGTGCGAAAAGGGGTGTGCCAAGGATTTTTGGGAAAGTGGGGGAGTCTTAAGGGTATGAACGCAATTAGGCGAATAAGKGGCGCGTGCGCAAGGGACTCAAGGTCCGATGGGGCCGGRGCACTGTGGGCGACGACTTACGGGGAAATCCCTCCGCGGTGGAGGTGGTCCCGAAAAGTAACGCCGTCGGGGGCCGCCACATGGYGCAGGCCGYCGCGTACTTGGATKGGGCCTTCGGAATTCCGGAGTTCTCTGTTCRCCGCTGCGTYGGCAATTCACGCAAAACGTGCTGGGCCAATAGGGGGCTATGGCTGGCCACGGAACGACRCTGAGTTGATGRTACSGGAGAAGAAGGCGGAAAGGAGGGAAACTGGTGGTGATCTCAACGAATCCCGGGTGGGTGAAATAGTAGGTGTGGTYGGGGGAGGGGAAATSAGAGCACCGAGSGTCGCTAGAGGTGGCGCAGTGGAATTCCCRCRGACATAGTCGATTCTCCGTGTGACAGGGGTATCGYAGCCTTATGAGTTCGTTTATCCAAGGGGTGAAATAATCCGSGTCGTAGGATGAGTCTGAGCTCCAAGATCGCGTCATGGTATCATCGTAGATGGGACAGGTCGGGTCGGGCTATCGTCACCGCGCACGGGCACGTGTAGGGCAGGCGAACTTAGTTGCGCCTCATCGTGCCCGTACGGGATGACGGTTCCGCTGCGAATCTTTTTGGGTGGGCGAATCGACGCACGGGAATGCGTGTAAGGGCGCGACTCGGATCGTGTTCACACGTGTTCTCGTGCGGCGTTCGCGGGGCCAGACTTCGGATCGTCTAATTGCTTCGTAAGTTTCGATTATGCAAGATGCAACCATATCAGAACCCCATCGTGAGACAAGCAAAAACGAGAACAAAATCGCTATTGGGGCCAGATTCTTATCCCATCTACAACGGCATCAGGTGCAAGCAAGGATTCGACACAAACAAAAAAGCAAGGATAGGGATTTTCTGCGAAAAGATAGACAAGCAGGCATAACCTTCATACATCCATACATTCGACAATCATACACATAATGCAATTGCAAGGACAGGTGTGAGCAAAAACCCAAGTCCAGATTCCTGAAAGCCGAAACGAAAATAAGAACAGGCAAACCGCCCGCAACCGCAATCAAAATGTATGTACACAGATAAAGAGGGGGAAGAGACAAAGAAACAACAAATCCGCGTCCATCGACCTCAACTCTCTTCTCCTCTCTCTCTCTCTCCGATGCGGACAGTCCGTCGTCGCGCACCAACCCACGAAGTTGTCACCCCGCTTAGTCCTCCCGCACCCGTCGGATTCACCCGTGCCCACAGTCCGTCGTGGCCCACCGTGACGTCAATCCCGCGCGTTCGGCACCAGCCCGTCGGGTCGCCCAACTCCTACTCTACTCACCTCTTACTTCGCTCGTGTGCCGACCCTTCCTGATCCCGCAACCCCGAGCTTCCGACAACGGGTTAAGAGAGCTAACTAATCGCGCAATCGAAATTTATAGCGTGCATGCATGGGCGAAGAACACGTAATTACCAGGACTTAGAGTGGGGATTAGAGAGGGAGCGCCTGCGTTCTGCATGATCGGCCGCGGTGTGGGGGATATAACCCTTCTCCACGCATCGATCTGAGCATGCAAGCCGCGGCTTACAAAAATTTCAGCAAAAGAAAGAGAGGGAGGGCAGGAGAGGCGGAGTGAAAGAAGAAAAATACAGTTACAATGGCGCCCACCCAAAATTACAGTTACACACACGATTAAGGGCGCCCACTAATCAGAGTACCATTGCGGCCGCATGAAGAAGCGCGTAGACAAAAGGCGCCGCGCGACAGGAAAAATCCTAATTACCGAATTCCTCATTTCCTATCTAATGCGAAAAAGCAAAAAGTACAAATTCCAGAAGGAAAGTCCGAAATTCCGAGAGCCATCATGGCTCGACAAAGAAGATTTGAAGGAAAAATTCAAAAAGAATCGTGCAAATTCCCGCACGATGTCCGCGCCCAAAAGATCGAAACCGAAACGACGTCAACATTTATTAATCGCGCGCGTGTGTGGCGATGCGCCAGACATCCATCCAACCAATCAATCAATGGGTCGTCCCAGGACACACCCAGCTCCGAACCCAGACATCCGACAAGAAGCTACGAAAAAGGACAAAAAGCAAGGGTACTGTTGCAATTTTCCACCGATCCCGATCTCCCGTAATTGGCCCAACCTTCCAAGCTTAGGACCCCTCGTTGCAACCGCGCAGAAAATTGCGCGTTACAGAAAGTGGTTCGTCACAGTGGTTTAAGTAGGGATATTGAGCGGAAATTCTTGACATCGGCTTTGTCACCTTTCTTGTAGAGGAGGGTGATTATACCTTCGGGAGTGTGCGTCCCCAATGGGTGGCCATTGAGGGATCTTATTGAAGACCCTAGTAAGGAGGTTGGGGGCAAAAAGTGTTTAAAATCTGTGGTAGAATTCTACGGGTAAGCCGTCGGGGCCTGCGCATTTGCCCCTGGACATGCTGTTCACTGTAGCTGTGAGTTCAGTCATAGTAATGGAGGACTCAAGAGAGAAGGGTTATGTATCTGAGAAAATGCGATGGGTCGAGCCATCAATGCTGGCAGGAACACTCTGCATGATTGATCTGATGTAAATGGGACGATGGACCCGCTTTCCAGCAGGTGATGTTCCCCACCAATAGATGGAGCTGCCTCCCGGGTGGTAGTGGTGTCTGCTCGTATCAGCACCACTAACACAAATGTGAGGTGTGTTTAAAAAAAAAAAAAAAAAAAAAAAAAAA